AAAAAAAAGCGAGCCGACGAGCCGAGCCGCTCGCTTTGGCAACGAGCCGAGCTCAAGCTCGGCTCGTTGCCACTGAGCCACAAGCTCGGCTAGTGCGACAATGGGCCGAGCCGGCTCGGCTCGGCCCATTGACACCACTAGAAACAGCATGCGTATTAGAGTCCTACATTGGTTTGTGATATTTACACGATTCATTTAATAAGGTGAAGTTAATCCTCTTCTAACAAGCCGATTTTGTTAGGTTGAGTTAGATCCAATATCATTTTCAATATGGTATCCGAGCAGATCCAGTTTTGCAATGTTTGATGCACCTAATATGGATTGGTTCACAGTTGTTTGGTATGATCCATGTTATGCGTGAGGGGGCGTATTAGAGTCCCACATTGACTAGTGAAATTTACACGATCCACTTAATAAGGTGAGGACAATCCTCCCCAAACAAGTTGAATTTGTTAGGTTGAATTAGGTCCAATATCATTTCCAATATGGTATCAGAGCATGCTCAGTTTTGCAATATTTGGTACACCCAATATCTATTTGTTCGTAGTTATTTGGCATGGTCTACATTGTGTGTGAGGGGGCGTATTAGAGTCTCACATTGACTTGTGATATTTACACGATCCACTTAATAAGGTGTGTGCAATCCTCCCATAACAAGTCAGTTTTATTAGGTTGAGTTATGCCCAATATCATTTCCAATAGTGCGAGCATCACAGTTATACCACCGTCAACGCAAGAATCACGGTAACATCTTTCATGGGAATGGTTGTGGCCACAGCTGTAGCTGTAGTAATAGGCCATGTTCCCTTCAAACTTGAGAAAAAAATGTCTACGATAGAAAAAGTTAAAATCTTATTTTATTTATTGTCTAATCTTGTTTAGCATCGCAATATGTAGCATGATGAAAAATTTTCCTTATTTTTTAACCACGCGTATATAAAAAAATAACGATTTATTAGCTTCGCTAGCTTCGATCCTTTGTAGACTGTTTTCTTTTATAGCTTTTCTACATACAAAATGTCGTCACTCCAACTCTAAAATTTCATTTCGTAATTCACCATTTCAAGGTCTATCCAAATTCGTAATTCTTAATCCTATTTATCCTACATTTCTTATTTTGTGAAGGGATAATTTATATTAAAAAGAGGAACTTAATTGTAAATTACGGTTAATAAAATTTGTGGTGGCCCTTTATAAAATTTTTCTTAATAAGCCCCTGTTTAAGCCACATTAAAATTTACATTATCATTTTTCTACTCATTTTCAATCACATAATTTTCAAGAAAATAATATTTTCTATCACATCAATAAGTTTTCCGTCTTTTTCTTAATAAGCCCATGTTTGAGCCACATTAAAATTTATATTCTCATTTTTCTACTCATTTTCAACCACATAATTTTCAAGAAAATAATATTTTTTATCACATCAATAATTTTTCTTTCTTTTTCAACTACACATTCTTCATCAATCTATTATTTCAAAATGAGTTTTGCTTCTTGTATAGTTTTGCTTCACAGTCATTTTCACAGTTTTTTTAAAAATCCTATGTGGCATCCGGCAGTGTTAAAGGACCCGACCCAACCAAAAAAAACCCAACCCTGACCCTGTGTTCATTTTAGTTTACTCTCTTTCTAACCTAATCCCAAATTCTCCCCCCACTCGAGAACGGATTCTCACTTCAGTTTCAACATTCCAACCATTGAACCCATTCACCGGTGGATCTCCGACCTCCCCAGTTGAAGCAAAATTTGCTGCATTTTGAAAGTTGAGAAGAGTACGAACGATACGAGATTTCGAGCTGCCCAAGTAAGAAGGTTTATAAATTATTTTAATCGCAAGAGTTGAAGTTTCTATAATTATTTTTAATTGTATTTAGAAGTTGAAGTCGGCTGCCGTAAGAAGAAAAAAATAAGCAGAGAAATTATTGGGGGCTTTTCAATAATATTGTGTATTTCTACAAAATTTATTAATACTCTGTTTTTGAAATTTCTATTTGAAAATATGACCAGCTTAGGTGTAAATAGTATGAAGTTCAAATGGAATGTTTAGAGTTATAGTTTCAAATGGTCAATTTTGAATTCTATTTACTTGCTTGTAGTGGTAAATTTGAAAATGAGCATTCTATGTGAGTTAATAACAATGAATATGTGTTACATTAATGTAGGAAAAGAAACAATGGAAGAATTGGATGACGAAGTATATGTAGAATCCAACGATGAGAAGTTGGTGGATAATGTAGTCAACTTGGAAGACGATAATGATAATTTAGCAAGAGATGTTACGATAGTGCCTGAGGT